TCTAGCTATCCTTCTGTCTGTGAACAATTTTTCAAAATGCTACTCCTCCTACAGTTTTGGTCTGATTTCAGTATATCTTGGCACACAAGTAGACTGCACTAAGATACATAATTTAGCGCATTGGTTTTTGATATCGATGAATGGTGTTGTCATGGTTACTAAAAATAGAAATTTCTTTTAAATTCCTTTAAAACGCTACCTCTCCTACAGTTTCGGTCTGATTTCAATATAACTTGGCACACAAGTAATTCAGTGCATCGGTTTTTGATTTCGATGGACCGTGTTGCCATGGTTACTAAAAATAGAAATTTCTCTTAAATTTCTTTAAATCGCTACTTCTCCTAAAGTTTCGGTCTGATTTCAATATAACTTGGCACATAAATGGACTATACTAAGATACATAATTTGTTTCATCAGTTTTTGATTTCGATTAACAGCGTTGCCTTGGTTACATGTACTAAAAATAGACGTTTCTGATAAATACTTTAAATATGCTACTTCTACCACAATTTAGGTTTGATTTCAATTTAATTTGGCGCACAAGTTGTCCCAAAAAGAGACTTAATCAAGGATCATTATTCAATTTATTGCTGTTGTGAAGTTTTAAGTCCCATTGGCTACTTTTCTCTTCCGTTGTTATAAGTACAAACCAGTAGAGCTACAGTCTCGACAGAGACTTCTGGTTTGCAGATATACCCTTTTGCGAGAGGATGCTTCGCTTTGGCTAAAAGAAATATTCGCTCTTGTTGGGAAGCCACAAGCTGCCGATGGAATCTGTCATAAGTTTAGGCCTGTACTCGTCACTTATAGGAGTTGTACTAGGGTTCTTTATCGTGCAACCATCTACTGCGATACGGACTTTTTAAACCTCGGTTTAAACAAAGTCTCATCCGAAGAACTATTAAGTTTTTTAAGTCGATCCAACTGAAATTATTTACTGAATGCTAAATTTTTCAGCAGTGGCTTCCAGATTTTTTGCGATGAAAATGAATATTTGTTACAGTAGCACATCATTATTTCAAATGAATTTTTTCGTAAATATATATATATATATATATATATATATATATATATATATATATATATATATATATATATATATATATATATATATATATATATATATATATATATAATCCAAAAGTTTGATAAAAAATCCACACAAGTATGTAAATAGTAATAAAAGTATAAAAGTTAATCCACACAAGTATTTAAATAGTAAAAAATAACGAACGACCTTAAAACTCTATTTCAATGTATCATCAATTTTGTACTTATGATACAATTGAAACATTTTAATCGGTATTTTTTACTATATATATATATATATATATATATATATATATATATATATATATATATATTTACACGTTTGTCATCCTTTATTAATGCAAATGTACTTACATGCATTGGTAGTTGCCTCGTGATATTGTATTAAAATTAGGATTAAAGTACTTTTATAACTTTCTTTTGCATTTATCTTTATTTGAATAATTATGTGAATCACAGGGCAATGATGTATACATTCAATAAAATGTTACATGTAAAAGCTATCCACTTTGAAACTGAAGAATATGTGTACTTAATTAAGGCATTTTTGAAATGAACATGCTCTAAAGCAAGCATATTTTGTATTACAAAACGGACTGAAAAACTGTTAAAATATTTCGCATCCTGGGTCGTTTATCAAATTAAAAAAAAAACAGCAGATACAAGGTTTGTAAACTCGCCTTATGATACAGATGTAAGTATTAAGCTGTTCATTAACCATAACATTCTTTTAAAACAAATATAAAGTTACATCAGGGAGTTCAAAGAACTTACAATGTAAACTTCAGGACAGCGTATACGTTAGCTTTTTGAAATTTTTAAACAAATTACACTTTTTGAACATTACAATACGTATAGTGCCAGAGAGAGAGAGAGAGAGAGAGAGAGAGCGAGAGAGAGAGACAGAGAGAGAGAGAGAGAGAGAGCTTTTACAGACGCAAAGGTATATCATATCACTGTAAATCATGTCCTATATGAAAAACGTCAGTCAGCATTTTACTTTGAAACTGTATTTGCTGACAAAGTCATTGTATCGACCATAGAACGAACGAAATGATGAATATAAATCAGACTGTTGATATGTAGAAATTGTACCTGCAATCATAGATTGATTGATTGTATATTGTTTAACGTCCCTCTTGAGAATTTTTAACTCACTTGCCAGTGGAGAGCTGCAAATATCTAATACTAGACACTCGATGAAGGCCATTGAGCAGGGAGGGGTCTTTTTCATGCCAGCACCTACTGCGACATGGGACCTCGGTATATACGATCTCATCCGAATGACCCGTCATCACGTCCCACAGTGGTGTACATACATAGAGCATATGCTCTTGCTTGCGTAGAGATATAAACCCCATATTAAGGTGATGAAGGTATATTGCTACATTAAAGTAAGGGAAGTTGACATCGAAAAGTTGAAGTTATCACATTAAAAGTCCGCACGTTTATCATAAAACTTGGTAGTTAGATTACCATTAACGTCTTTCTCAAGTATAAAATATCCAAATATGAAACAGATGTGACAGACTCTGTGATTTCTCATTGGAATATAAATATATAAAAATGGACATAACCATGCAATGGAGTGGAAAATTTAAGTGAGACCCAAATTTAACGATTTGTCCTTAAAAATTAAATTGGATGTTAATTTAAGCGAGGTGTAATTTAAGCGATTTTAAAATGCTCAGTAAAGAAGCTATTACAAATTAAACGCAATTAATTTTTAGCGATATTCAATTTTAGCGATCTCAACTAATGCCAAATTTAAATTCTCGCTAAAAAAATCGACGTATACGGTACGTCGTCGATTTATCTAAATGTCGAGTTGGGAGCCACAGAAGCTTTTTCTTCTTTTCGCATATAAGATTCTGGACAAATTCTGCTTCATATGAATACAAAAATAGGTCTGCTAATAACGGGCGCCATTGATACCCATGGGGATTCCACTACTTGAGATTGTTGGAAGACTTGGTCTCCAAAAACTATATAGATATTGTCAATCAGAAACTCAAGCATCTTTTTTTTATATCAACTTCAGAGTACTTCGGTCTTGTAAGTAAACAATTAGAATGTTTTCAAAAATAATTTTGCAAGGGACCAGTGACGAGGTATGTAAACTGACGAGTTCCATTTTTATTGAAAAAAGCAGTTGTCAATGATATAAAAAAGCATGGACTTTACTTTAATATCGTGCGTAATGGTTTTATATAAAGATGATAAACTAAGTCAAAAAGTCGTTATTAAGTTTTAATGCTGAACATTGATTTTGGTAAATTTTTGTGTTTTCATATTTTCCAAAACTTCCTTAGAATCTTAAAGTATCCACCTCCGATTTACACCACTTTTAGATCTCGATTATATATTGTTGCACAGTAATTTAGTTCCTTCACCATACATGCGTATACTGTTAATCTTTTAGAGAGGAGTAAAGAAAGAGACTTTGTAGAAAATTAACTGGAACCCGCAATGTATGTTTTATATTGTTTTTATGGATTTCTATGAAGTCTTGGAATCCAGTATAGATATGGTAATTCCAATATTGGATGTTGGGAATGTTAAATTTGACAATGATTTTGAAGAATTCAGTGTCCTTAGAAAAGGAGCCATGGGTATAAGTTTCAACTGAGAAAATACTATAAACAGGATTTTTTAATAAGAGGATTAAAAAAAGAAACAAAAGAAACAAATAAACAAATTCTGAACAATCTCTGGATCCGGTTTAGTTTTAGGCCTCGTTTTATCCCAATCCCAGTGGGATTAATTTTTAGCGATATTCAATTTTAGCGATCTCAAATAATGCCAAAATTAAATCCTCGCTAAAAAATTCGGCGTATACGGTACGTCGTCGATTTATCAAAATGTCGAGTCGGGAGCCACAGAAAGCTTTTCTTTTTTTTCGCGTATAAGATTCTGGACAAATTCTGCTTCATATGAATACAAAAATAGGTCTGCTAATAACGGGGCACAATTAGTACCCATGGGGATTCCACTACTTGAGATTGTTGGAAGACTTGGTCTCCAAAAATCTATATAGATATTGTCAATCAGAAACTCAAGCATCTTTTTATATCAACTTCAGAGTGCTTCAGTCTTGTAATTAAACAATCAGAATGTTTTCAAAAAATAATTTTGCAAGTGATCAATTAAAAGATATGTAAGTTGACGAGTTCCATTTTTATTGAAAAAAGCAGTTGTCAATGATATAAAAAGCATGGACTTTACTTTAATATCGTGCGTAATGGTTTTATATAATAAAGATGATAAACTAAGTCAAAATATGAAACAGATGTGTCATGCAGACTCTGTGATTTCTCACCGGAATATAATTAATATATAAAAATGGAAATAATCATGCAGTGGAGTGGAAAATTAAGTGAGACGTTATCAAGTTTTAATGCTGAACATGGATTTTGGTAAAATTTTGTGTTTTCATATTTTCGAAAAGTTCCTCATAATTTTGAAGTATTCACATCCGATTTACACCACTTTCAGATCTCGATTATATTTATTGTTGCACAGTAATTCAGTTCCTTCACTATACATGCGTTTATTGTTAATCTTTTAGAGAGGAGTAAAGAAAGAGACTTTGTAGAAAATTGACTGGAACCCGCATTTTTATATTGTTTTATATTGTTTGTATGGATTTCTATGAAGTCTTGGAATCCAGTATAGATATGGTAATTCCAATATTGGATGTTGGGAATGTTAAATTTGACAATGATTTTGAAGAATTCAGTGTCCTTAGAAAAGGAGCCATGGGTATAAGTTTCAACTGAGAAAATACTATAAACAGGATTTTTTAATAAGAGGATTAAAAAGAAAAGAAACAAAAGAAACAAATAAACAAATTCTGAACAATCTCTGCATCCGGTGTAGTTTTAGGTCTCGTTTTATCCCAATCCCACTAAAATAAACGTTAGTGTGAATAAGATTTGAAACGTGTCAGGGTCACTTATGCGCTACAGACTTGACAGATGAAAAACACCGCAGACGAAGGCACATGATCTTTAGTTTTAGCTCAAATGATCGATAAAGAATATGTTTAAGAATTTAAAGAAAAAATTGGAACAAGGCGTCGCACAGTCGCCACTTCGAGGAGCTCTGAATGCTGTGACAAAGGTTGATTCTCTACTAAATTCTACTTTCTCAATTGCTGTAGGGCCTCTATGTAACTTCCTCTCATGCAGAAAGTTTGTATAGGTCTACAACCAAAACATAATCGGATTGAATATCTATGTGTGCTAATTTGCACTGTGTTTTTCTATTGCATGAAAACATACTTATATGTTTTGTGATCGATGTCATATGCGCGGCACTTGGTGACCACTAGTGCAGAAATATGATGAAGGCTACATGTGTATTTCATGACATCTGTATACATTCATTATCATTTTGATGTCCGACTTAAGTGAAAGTTTTATCAGGTGGCAAGTATAGAATATGCAATTTGTCTCTTGTTTTTTCCCCAATTTATGGCATATTATCATGATTATCAAAAATATTTATCATAACACCGAGTAAATTGACAAGACAGTATGAAGTCAACTCTCAACCTGCAATATTTATTATATTATTCTGAATGTTTTATACAAATACATATAACAGTGAACCGTACGCGCATAAATTCTGCGCATTCGGTATTTTTTGGATTTATAATATCACCCGTCATCAAGTCAACCTGATATTAATACTCTTAACAAATCCTGTATGTGACCTCATAATCAAATCCTGAAAATCATATTCAAACTAAGACTGGTTACAAGTTGACTTCAGGGCTCGACATTAAGGCTTGTATGCTTGTGCGATACCAATGAAAAAAAAATTATGGAAAGTGAATATTGCTGGGCACTTGTCCGATTGGACAAGTGATTAGCTCACCTCAACGAAGTTGGGGGGAGCTTATGTGATACCCTCGGCGTCGGCGTCGGCGTCCCAGGTTAAGGTTAAGTTTTTTGGAGCAGTTTTCTTTTTAATTACTTCTGTGTCCTATACTGATTAGACATGCATGGAAAATGGTTTTAGTGTGTTTTATTGTACCAGACAAAGTTTCAGATGCTGCAATTTCAGCAAAGGAATTACCAGGTTAATGTTTTTGGAGCAGGTTAACATTTTTGGTGCAGTTTTTGGTGTGGGTTTCATTTCCAAGTAACTATCAGGCCTATGTTGACCAAACTTGCACGGATGATACATCTAAGGATGCATACTACCGGGATTGCTTCGGATGCTGAATCTGACCTACATTTTCCGGTTGAGTGAACAGGTTAAAGTTTTTGGTGCAGGTTTCATTTCCAAGTAACTATAAGCCCTATGTTGACCAAACTTGCATGGATGATCCATCTAAGGATGCATACTACCGGGCTTGCTTCGGATGCTGAATCTGACCTACATTTTCCGGTTGAGTGAACAGGTTAAAGTTTTTGGTGTAGGTTTCATTTCCAAGTAACTATAAGCCCTATGTTGACCAAACTTGCATGGATGATACATCTAAGGATGCATACTACCGGGCTTGCTTCGGATGCTGAATCTGACCTACATTTTCCGGTTGAGTGAACAGGTTAAAGTTTTTGGTGCAGGTTTCATTTCCAAGTAACTATAAGCCCTATGTTGACCAAACTTGCATGGATGATACATCTAAGGATGCATACTACCGGGCTTGCTTCGGATGCTGAATCTGACCTACAATTTCCGGTTGAGTGAACAGGTTAAAGTTTTTGGTGCAGGTTTCATTTCCAAGTAACTATAAGCCCTATGTTGACCAAACTTGCATGGATGATACATCTAAGGATGCATACTACCGGGCGTGCTTCGGATGCTGAATCTGACCTACATTTTCCGGTTGAGTGAACAGGTTAAAGTTTTTGGTGTAGGTTTCATTTCCAAGTAACTATAAGCCCTATGTTGACCAAACTTGCATGGATGATACATCTAAGGATGCATACTACCGGGCTTGCTTCGGATGCTGAATCTGACCTACATTTTCCGGTTGAGTGAATAGGTTAAAGTTTATGGTGCAGGTTTCATTTCCAAGTAACTATAAGCCCTATGTTGACCAAACTTGCATGGATGATACATCTAAGGATGCATACTACCGGGCTTGCTTCGGATGCTGAATCTGACCTACATTTTCCAGTTGAGTGAACAGGTTAAAGTTTTTGGTGCAGGTTTCATTTCCAAGTAACTATAAGCCCTATGTTGACCAAACTTGCATGGATGATACATCTAAGGATGCATACTACCGGGCTTGCTTCGGATGCTGAATCTGACCTACATTTTCCAGTTGAGCGAACAGGTTAATGTTTTTGGTGCAGGTTTCATTTGCAAGTAACTTTAAGCCCTATGTTGACCAAACTTGCATGGATGATACATCTAAGGATGCACACTACCAGGCTTGCTTCGGATGCTGAATCTGACCTACATTTTCCGGTTGAGTGAATAGTTAAAAGTTTTTGGTGCAGGTTTCATTTCCAAGGAACTATGAGTTCTTTAATGACCAGTCTTGCATAGATGATACATCTAAGGATGCATACTTCCAGGCTTGCTTCGGAAGCTGAATCTGACCTACTTTTTGTGGATGAGTGAAAATGTTAGTTTTAATGCATGTTTCATTTCCAATAAACTATGAGCCCTATAATGAGCAAACTTGCATGGATGATACATCTAAGGATGCACACTAATGGACTTGCTTCGGATGCTGAATTGGACATACATTTTTCAGATAATAGACAAGGTAAAAGTTATGGTTGCAGGTCTATTACCAAAAACTATAAGGCTTATATAACATTGTATAAACCAAACTTTCACAAATGCTGCATCAAGAGATGAAAACTCTCAAATTTGCTTCAGATGCTGGATTTTCATTACATTTTCATGAAGAAGAAGTAGTTTAAATTTTTTATGTAGGTCTATTTCAAAGTATCAGATCAAAATTGCTTTTAAAAATATTTTCATTTTTGGAATGTATACTTTTTGTTGGTTAATTGTGTGACTTTGCCTTACTTAAAGACAACATTCGTTGAGGTGAGCTCTGTAATCTCTGATTGCCTATGTTTTTTTATGTAAAGAAGTCTTCAAATAATAATAATAATAAAAAAAACAACCATTGAAAAGTTTATCGAATAAAAACGGAAGCAGTACATAAACCCGAATTTCAATCCCGATATCAATGGCTATGTAAGTTAACACTTGATCGGGATCGATGTTCACTAATTGCAGCCATATTATTGCATGGCGTGGATCTTAGGATGTTTGCGGGTTTGGAATATATTTGATTGATATTACAGATTTACTTGCGAACATTTATGTTGTTGCCAGGACAGGAAGTCTAGATAATTTTTTTTTCATATGTATGTGTTTGTCTTATTTATCAATAACAACACTAATAACTCAAGCTCGTTTAATATTTTAATTTAAGTAATTGTTTTCAAGTTGACAGAATAAGATATTTGTTGAAAAATTTTCGGACAAGTGAAGTTGAAGTTCGGACAAGTTAATATCTTCGTAACTTGTCCGAATGGACAAGTAGGGAAAAAAGTTAATGTCGAGCCCTGGACTTCTGAAGGAAGAAGTCCCAGGAGGAAGAAGTCAAGTCATACCCTTGGCAGCAAACTTTAAAGTTACCTGCCTGTGAGTTATTGACACTTGAGTTTTCAAGTGCAGGGTTGTCTCTATGATCCGGGGGCCAGGGAATTTCCTATTAGTTATTTCAGTTCTAATAGAGACAACTCGGAAAGTGTATTGCATGGTTTATCCACATACAAAACATACTTTCATCCTTTAAAAATCAATTTTTCATACTTTTAGGGGTAGGTTCTCCTGTATCACAAGCCACATGTACAGACAACTATGAACATTTCAGCAGTTAATTAGGACTGAATTTTCATAATTATATCTTAGTATGTACAGGCCAGAGTTAGAAAAAAAATACAGGAAAGTTTATTACTCATTTTAGCAAACAGAAGAAGCCAGTCCAGGAGAGCCAATAGCAGAGAGTACACCCAAGAAGGAGAACAATGTGGTTCCCCAGGGTCTGAACTCTACAGACAGTGGGGCCACCGTAGGGGAGGGGCCAGCGGTCGGTCAGTTGGTGGACATACCCCTCCAGGAAGACAGTCCAAACACAACTAATGACGTAAGAAATGGTCACCATTTTGTGCTGGTCTCTCTTTAAAATTTAAATACTGGAGAGTGTCTGTGAATTAAATTTTTGAAAAAAATTTATGCACTTTTAAATTTTTCAAGTATATGCACACTCCAGAGGTGCTCGATATAAAATATTTAATTAAAAAGGCATCATAAATATATATGCACTTTCTATTATATGCACATTTCAAAAGTGCTCAATGTAATTTATTTCATTAAGAAGTCATTGTCTTAAAGTGCGTCTGTGTGATTTTACCCATTATTGTTTCTATCAATAATGTCTCACAGGTAGTATGTTAATTAAGTCATCTAAAAATTCATATAATAACCTCAGAAAATAAAATTGACTCTTTTTTTTCCACATAAAATATTTTCAAGCCGTAGTCTTTATAGGTGAAAAAAGGTTAGACAACTAATGTTATGTTTTTAATCATTTTAAAGTTTCACAGTCCAAAATAACAAGAGGCGGACATTTTTTTGTATTACAGTATTCCTCAGCGTTATCCCAGTTACCGGGAGATGACACGCCTCGTGCCGCCCGATCTCGGACATCGTCCATCAGTTCCGTCACCAGCGACTCTTTCTTCACGAATGCGAATCTCGGCCCGTTTCATCACTACGCAGCACCGTCAGACATTGAGAGCGAGGTGGAGGAGCAGGTCTCGAACCTCGATGGCTACAGTAAAGACGACCTATACCAGCTGGTCAGGAAATACGAAAGACGATCCATCAGATACAAGTCAAAGTTTATGGAGGTATGATGTATTTTTTTATTTTGAGCTGACTTGAGCTGAAGGCTCAAATGAGCTTTTCTGATCACATATTTTAATCTTCAGAACTCTGGCATAAGAATACATGTTTACATTGGCAAAATCTCTAAAATTCTTCTTGTCAAGAACAGCAAAGTTAGGCCAAAAAAATAGTCTTGTTTCCTGCTACCAGCCTGAAAAAAATAGGGTAGGTAGGTAGGAAAAATATTTTTTTTTTTTATTTTATTTTATTTTTTTCCAATGGTATTTGTTGGATATGAACTACTACAAAACTAAATTAAATATGTCATAGGTCAATATTATTGTTTAAAATTAAATTCCATGTCTTATGATGCACAACTCAAGTAGTGTTTTATGAATTCATGTTCATATTTAAAACTTATATTTCATGAAATACCACTTGAATATATATTTTTTTCACTTTGGATCATGAAATTTCCAATTTTCCCACCAAAACTAAATAAAAACTTTAGGGTCGGGTGCAAAAAAATAGGGTAGGTCGGGTAGCAGGAAACAAGACTATTTTTATTTTTGGCCTTATAATTGATCATACAGTGAAAACTGTCTAAACCGACAGTGTAATCCATCACACCGTATATTCCAACCTAAAACTTCTTTCCCATTTTACTAATTTTGATGTTAGCTTACACTGTTCAATCTGGCACTCTGTCTTCCAGCGCATGTCAGTTTAGACAGGTTTCACTGTATTTATTTGAAAGTATGCTCAAGCAGTGTAGAATCAAGTTTGTTCAAATCATGACCCAGGTGGGTCCTCAATGTGTGGGAAAAGTTTTTACATGGGGATACATGGCAAAAAATCTTGTAAAAATTTTTATTTTGAAGAAATTCTTGTTAGTATTAAATGTTTTGTCTCCTATTAACATTCAATTATGAAATATCTTCTCTTGCTATGTCTTAGCATTTGTGATATATTTACAGGTTGCAAACATTTATAAAGAGGTTGTGGCTGAAAGAGACAAACTTAAGGTATGGAATTTCTTTGAATAAATATTACCGGTAAATACTGCAAATATATCATATTTGGCGTGTACGATATTTTGCGGAAATTGATTTTTGAACAGGTTTGCTTTGATTTGATTTAGCGCATTTATTCATTTTCGTATACATGAGCATATGTGCAAGACATTTAGCATTGTACTTGAATTAGCGGACATTTCTTTCCGCCAAAGGTGCTAAGAAGAATACACATCCAAATGTAATACGTTTACAGTACCATCTTTATTTTGTTTAGATATTTCAGTCCTTTTGATATACATGTGATATGCACTAGCTGTACATGAAATGTCACATTTTTTTTTACCCCATTCAGTGGACAATATTACACAGATTATGCTTGGTCATAGAGACAATTTTCTTTTAAATATATTTTAGAACACTCTAACCCAGACACAAGACCGAGCTTTCCGGAGAATCTCAGAGCTCAAGGAGCAGATTCAGCTCGACCAGCTCGCTAAGAAGGACCTGGAGGAAAACTACAGGCTGATGCTGGAGGAGAAGGATGAACACATGAAGGTGTTCAGGACTCAGGTGAGAATGATTGTCACACAGGTAAATCAGGGGTAAATCGCAGGTAAATCACAGGTAAATTACAGGTAAATCACAGGTAAATCTCAGGTAAATCAAAGTGTTCAGGACTTACGTGTGAATGAGATAGTCTTAGAGGTAAATCACAGATAAATCACAGATAAATCACAGGTAAATGATAGGTAAATCTCAGGTAAATCAAAGTGTTCAGGACACAGGGGAGAATGAGATAGTCTTACAGGTAAATCACAGGTAAATCAAAGCGTTCAGGACTCAGACGAGAATGAAATGGGTCTCTCTATGCCTCAAAAACCACAAAAATTAAACCCTTACAAAAATTAGTGATTTCACAATATTGTTTAATAGAATATGATTACAGACTTTATATTCCCATTTGTAAACAAAAATGAACCCCTCGTCCCCAAAAAAAGACTGTTTGATAAAGTTTTTTTTTCAAATTTGTTTCTCTGAAACAAAAATGTCAACATCTTGAAAACATAAATCCAATGTCATTTTTTTTAAAAGCAGGTTTGAATTCTTTTGTTTTTGTTTGTTTGTTGTTGTTTTTTTGAGTACTTAGTTCATGTACTGTTGTTGTTAACAGATAAGGCTGCTACGAGAGGGAAAGGAGATTCCACCAGAACTGGAGGAACAATTACAGAGTAATAAAAAGTCCCCCAGAAAACCCCTGTAACGGGGGGCCCAGGAGGGGATGGGGCAAAGGAGGATAGTAATGTTCAACAACTTACAGAAAAGGTACAGTATTCTGTGTATATATAGCACCATTAAAACATTCTAAATATTTCAAGTGATGTATTAAATTTTATTATTGTTAACAGATATACAATAAAAACCAAAACTTAAAATTGAATATTAGGTATTGGGGATGGGTGGGTCTTGAAACTTGGTAAATTATTTACATGTATCAGTCAATAGCTTTTACCAAACAGTCATACCATGATGCTATTATTATTGGGAAATGAGTTTCCCTTCTTTTAAACACGATGATCATTAGAAGCTAGTTAATACCCTTTTTAAATCATAGGAATTTTCAGTATTAAAGAAGCAGAGATCTACATCTTTTACAGAAAAGAATTTCAAGGTCACATACACTTAATTTAAGCTTGAAATGTTCTATAATATAGGTCAAGAGATTAGAGGGTTTACTGAGTCGCTGTAAAGAAACCATCAGAAGTAATAAAGAGAAGACCGGACAGTTAGAGGAGGAGAATGCCAAACTGACCAATGAAATCAAAGAACTGACAAAACTAAAGGTATGCTACTCCTAACAGAAGTGAGGTATTTAAGCATTTCTTGTTACTATATACGAAATCACTCATTCCTCATGATTTTGTGGTGTAATATGACTATGTGAGGAGACCCACAAATTCATGCCCCCCCCCCCCATGCAATGTTAAAATAACTGAATATTAGAGTATAAAGTAGATCATTCACCCAGTAATCAAGTCCCTTTGAACCAATATTTTTTCCTCAAAGCACACAAACCTGTCTCCATGAATATAAGCGATTTTACAGCAACATTGAAAAAAGGTTTTTAAGACATTTTTTTTCAATCATTTTTATTTTGGTGTTTGTTTTATTTTTGTTGTGAAATATTTGGAGTATGTAAGGTACAATCATTAAAAGAATTTCTCTTTTTTTCAGGGTACCGCTAGTCCAGATCAGTTATCTAAACTACAAAATCAGATCAAGCAGGCAAGACAGGTGATAGAACAGCTGGAATCTGACAGAGAACTAGCCATTGCAGAGGTCAAACGGCAGGTGCATGAAGAAATTCAGGCCAAGGACGAGGAGGTCATCAAGGCCAGAGAACAGATCAAGGTCAAAGAGGAAGAGCTAGTGCATGCACAACAGCAAGGGGAACAACTCAAGGCAGAGAATCAGGCACTGCAGGAAAAGAACGAAAAATTAGAAAAAGCAGGTAATTTGACAGAAATGTACTGATCTTCAGAAAAATTATGAAGTCAGTCATAGCATAAAATACAGAGAGAGAGAGCATTTGAAAATTTTGTATAAAAGATAGTGTAAATCTCTTTTATGTAAAATTCTTTAATTCAGTTCCATAGGAGAATATATGCATGATTTGTGTACTCAATTATAATGCTTAAAGATTATATTTAATAAACTTTCCTTAATGTGTAATATTAAAATCAATATTACAAGTTCCCGGGTATTATTACATGTAGCTTTCTTTGAGTGTGGAAGCAAACATTTTTTTGTTGTTGAACTTTTTATCTTTGTAGGCAATATTAAAATCAATACCGATATACAGTTCCCAAATATAAGCTTTCTTTTAATGTGGAAGCATTCATTTTTATTTCCCCTGTTGAATGTTTTTTTTTATCTTTGTAGCCAGAGAGAAACTGGAGAAATCGAGGGAGATTGTAAGGAAACTAAAGGAAGAGAAACAGAAACTACAGCTAGAATTAGAGGAGCGGATCCAGAAAATGGACACAGAGTACAAGGAGCGGATCCAAAGCGTGGAGAAAGCAATGGAGGATGAGAAGGAGGGGTTGGTACAGGAGCTTTCCAAAGCCAAAGCAGCAGCCATCAGCTGCATGCAGGTAATGGAATGTTTTTACAGGTAAACTTCGTTATCTCGACATCGACGGGACAGTCGGAAAATGTCGAGATATCCGAGGTGTTGAGATATCAGAGTTGAGACTCGACGTCCTTAATTTTACTGCATAGTAAAACCATAGACCTAAACTGAACAGACTTGTAACTACAGGTACCTACATGTCTTCAAATAGACTGTAGCTCGTTTGTTTCAGCTATCCTTTTATATTTATTAGAAAATCTAAGAAGTTATTCACAAATATTATTTATGAAATGCTTTCTTTTTTATCAAGATCTTCTCATTTTACTAAAAGCCGTTTTCATTCAGCATTCGATCCGCGTGCCACTAGCACTGTCAGAACAGTACGAAATGCGCTCTATAAACTCCAAACTGGAACGGTACACAGTCAACTTCCGAGATATGGAAAAAAATAATGCGTAACATATTTTTAAAATTATTTCATTTCACTTCTTTATTATTTCATAATCATTGATCATTAATTTTCATTTCATTTTTAAACCAAAATTTAATTGGAATTGCACATTTAACAAACTTGATGTTACATATGCATAATTACGGCTGATGCAATAGTGTATATTAATTGTTCATTGTCATTCAGTTACTTTTTTTTATAAAATGTTTAAGTTTTGTTAGATTTCGACATAAATAAACAGTTTTACATTTACGCAGAATCGAAAAGATTTATCTATGATACACAGGGGCTTGTGTAGAGAAAATAAATCAGTTTAAAAAAAATTGGTACCTCGGAGAAAAAAAACATTCTCCGAGGTACCAATTTTTTTAAACTGATTTATTTTCTCTACACAAGCCCCTGTGGATGATATTACCCAAGCTGAACATTAAACAATTAACATCTCGATATGCAGGGCTCAAATTTGGGATTCCTCTACAAAAACATTTTTACAGAGCAGTATGTAGTCAAAACATTGGTGTGAAAGGTGTGAATTTCTGACAACGTCGAGATACACGGATTCGTCCGTGCGTGATGAGCGACCAGCTAACAAACAATTAGGTTAAGTAGAGCAGAAAATTGCATTGATGTCGAGATATACCAGGTAAATTTTGCTCTTGGGACTGAAATACGTCGAGATAAGCGGGTAGTCGACATTACCAAGGTCGACATATCAGAGTTTTTGCAAATCATTTATATAGTAAATAATGCCGGGACCGCGGACGGATGTCGACATATCCCAGGTCGTCGACATATCCGATGTTGAGATACCAAAGTTTACCTGTACTATGTTTCTCATTTCACAGGAACAGTTTTATCTTGTCACTCAGTACTTAAGTTTCGCAAAATTATCTCCCTTGGCGTTTTCGGTACAGAGGGGAGTATCGTTTCCATGTAAACTTTTATTGTGTTTCTCATTCACAGGCAACAGTTTCACCTTGTTGATCAATTAACCAGGTTATTAAGAAAAATTAAAGATTCATTTTTTAGATTGATCCCGAAAATTATTGATCAATGAATAGTTTTATCCAGTGGACATAACCTCAATTACTTCAATTTACATGTATTTGAATAACGGTAATCTCACTATCACTGCCTATAATCAAATTTTATGAAGATTTTTTTTTAAAGTGTTGTTTGTAATTTAAGGAGGAAACAGAGAAGACCATTGCTAATCGTGTCCAGGCCTCAATGGAGGAGAGAGATCAATACTGGCATCAGATCCTGCAGGAAAAAGAAAAAGAACATGTAGATGTTCTAGATACCAAGGTTTGTGTGTAGAAAAATTAGCGAGTTGTTCATGAGAGCAAAGAAAATTCTTCAGTGATGTAGTTACATATAAATTATATCATCATATAAATCCAATTCTTCATCCTTGTCGTAAGGTATCCACACATTTTTCTTCCTTAGCACTGACTTTAAAGAAATTCTGACAAATTCCTCGTAAACCAGTCTTAATTTCTTTATTCCTAAATCCTCGATCACTATAAACTAAAGTATTGAACATAGTATGAAAGCATTCATTCTACAAGAACTCTAGTTCTTTCATCCTAAGTCAGGAGAGGGCATGCTAACATTTTTTTTTTAAGACGACCTTGAATAAATTTATTATTTTTTCATTGAGAGATATACTTAGATACCTGAAGCATTGCACTACATCCTTCAAAGACTTTATTTATCACTATTTTGCTGTATGTGACCCATTTTACTAACATTAATGAGGCGCAGAGTTTCTCAACTTCTGTACGAATTGTTAAACAGGCAGAAGGAACATGCCTAGTTGCTCAGGCAGATGGAGGGAACATAAAATCGTAAATGGTTGGAAAGGAACAGGAAATGAGGCTAGCTGTTGAGGAAAGACTCACAAAATGGCTACCTTATCACAGCAGGACTCACTCATCTCCAAAGTGGCGGACACACTTTCTTCTGTGCAAGACTTGGTTATAAGTAATTTAAGATTATAATAGTCCATGTACCTTTGAGATACAGGTATGTCCTTTTAATTTACAATATTAATAATCAAATGTCATAATGTCAATTCATTATCTGGTAAAAACATAAAGTAAGAAAAGTAACTGCTATTTTCCCTGAAATCATGCCTTGTTTTAATTTTATTGACAGATTGATGCATGAATGTAGGTTCTGTTTCAATAATTTTCAAATTAAGTAGGTTTTTAAGATATTTCTTGTTGAGGTCAAGGTCATTTTATTTGTAATCTTATTTCTATTAGCTATATTTCCTATATTGTACAAACATGTTTCTCTCCAATAACACTTATTATTCAAAGTAATATTTTTGTCATTTGTTTGTCTCTAAGGAAAAATCCAAACTGGAAGGAGAATTGGCAGACCTTCAGAGTGTAGTCACAAAGCTCACTGAAGAGACAGAAAGCAAGATCCAGAAAATTCAGGAAGAGGCAGCTGAACAAAAGCAGGAAATGGAATCCAGGCTCCGAACTCAGATGGAGGAATCACTGAGCAGGAAGGATCAGGAATGGGAAGAGAGACTGCAGTCTGCAGCGGACACGCACACCGTCCAGATTGCAGAGCTAACGCGAAAGCAGGAGGACGCCATGCAGGGTTCAACTTCAGAGCTGGAGGGGTATTACAAAGAGCAGATGAAGACGATGAAATCCAACTATGAACAGCTTCTTCAAGAGAGGGCCCAGCAGGTGGAAGGGATGAATCTGTCACTGCAACAAATCAAGGTGGAGAAGGAAAATGTAGAGAAAGAGTTATCGGAAGTGAAAGAGGAATTAAGTCAAAAGAGGAAAGAAATAGAAAACCTGATGACTAATAGTGGTAATGTTCAGTCTGAAAAAGAGGCCAGGATTGCAGAACTTGGAGTGGAGGTAGAAACGCTGACAAAGAATATGGAACAGTTAGGGAGAGAAAAGAAGGAAATGGAAGAGGACATTATCAAAATGATAGAACAGAAGGAGAAGTCAGAGCAGACGTACAGGGACAGAATATCAGAGTTAACTCAGGAAAACAGTGACACAATGGCAGCCATATCAGCGTCATCTGATGAAAGCATCAAAGCACTGACCAATCAGATAGAGGAGAAGAACAGAGATATAACGGAGCTGATGGAGAAGTTACAGAAGGCTGAGAACAAGGTGGCAGAACTGGACAAACAGTGTGAAAAAGTGGAAAACAAACTTTCTCAGTCACATAAAGAAAAATCCTTCCTTGAGGAGAAGATAGCCAGTTTTGAATTATCCATGTCAGAATCACTGAAATTGAATGATGATTTAAATCAGAAAGTCAAAGAGACTCAGGAGATGTTTAGTTCTAATCAGCAGCAGCTGCAGCAAGAAAAGGCCAGTCTGGACCAGAAGATCACGTCATTACAGGAAGCTGTCAGTGAAGGGGAGCAGAGGGTGACAGAAATGGAGCAGGCCATTGTAAAGAAGGAGGAGGAAATTCAGACATTGAAAAAAGTTTTGGAGGAAAATGCTGTCTACATCAAAGAGCTGGAAGAAAAAGTGAAGGAAAGAGAAACAGAGAAAAATGAATTATCTGAGATTTTGGGAAGCAAGGAAGAGGAGATAAGTAAGGAGAAAGAAAAGTTTGATAGGCTGAGGGCAGAGGCTAAAGGAAGATTGAAGGAACTGAAGGAGAATTTGGATGAGAGTGGACAGAAGTATCAGGATCTGGAGCTAGAGAGGAAGACACTGATAGACAAACATAATGAGGAGATGAAGGAGGCTCAACAGAAACTTCAGGAGGAAAAGTCCAGCTATCAAAGCCTAGAGGAAAGTTTTAAAGCTCAGTTTGAGGAGCTGAAGTCCAAGCACAAGGAACAAGTGAATCAATTAAGGGAAGAATTTCAAGAGAAGCTGAAAGAGAGAGAGGTGGAGTTTGAAGGGAAGTTGACGGAGCTGACCCAGCAGAAGGATCTGAATGCTGAGGATTTGATGAAGGACTTTGAAACGAGAAAGACGCAGGAGATAGGGCAGATGGAAGAGAATCACAAAAGAGAGGTGGCCAGCCTTGTGGAAGACTGGGAGGGGAAACTTCTGAAGGCAAAGGAGGAATTTGATAAAGAAAGACAAAACTTGATCAGTCAACACCAGGAGGAATGTGTAAGGACTACGGAGGAACATCAGAAACAATTGGCAGAGGTACAGGCTAACTTGGAACAGAGGATAGCTGAAAAAGAATCAAGGATTGAACAACTGAACTCTGATTTGACGTCTGCTCTAGAAAGTAAGGAGGCCTCTTTGAGAGAGTTGACAGAAAATCAAGCTCAATTTGAGGGATCCACCAACAAGACCATTGAAAATCTGAAGCAGAAGTTGCAAGAGGCAGAGGAGAAATTGCTTCAGATGAATGAAAATATCAGCAGTTTAGAGACAGAGAGGAATAGTCTCATTGAAAGCAAAGCAATGTCTTCTTCACAGTATGAAGAAGAGATAAATTCACTAAGAGATTCAGAAAAAAATAACAAGGAGAAGCTCACAGCTCTTGAGGAGCAGGTTAAGGATCTTAGTCAACAATTGTACACAGTGTCAGAAAAACATGAAAAAGAAATGTCAGAAAAAGAACAGGTGATCAAAAACCTAGATGAAGAAATAAAGCAATTGACCAACACTAATAAATCAATGGAAGAAATGTTAAAAGAAATGAGTGAAGCTTCCCAAGCCAGAGGAGATGACTTGCAAGAAAAGGAAAGTAAAATGAAAGAACTGGAATCTTTACTTGCAAAGAAAGAAGAAGAATGGTCGCAGAAACTCGAAGAGAATCAAAAGCAGTGTAGCCAAAAATTGGAGGAAATTCAGGTAGAGAAATCAAAATCTGAGCAAGATTATGAAAAAAGGATATCAGAAATGTCTGAGAATGACAGCGAACTGCAGGCCAACCTTACACAATTGAATAGTAAGGTCAGCCAGACAGAAGAGAAACTTCATGACTGCATTCAGCAATATGAGTCTCAGATCGAGGAATACAAAAACAAGTTGGAGCAGCAGGTGGAAAGTGGCAAGCAGGAGATTCAGAAAGTGGAGGAGCAGTGGAAGAACAAGTTACAGGAGTTGAAGCAGAAGTACATGACCAAACTTAAGGAGATTCAGAAAGAAAGCAAGGACAAGGTCAGTTCGATGTCACAGGAATCCGGCGAGGTCCAGAGAAGACTGGCAGAGCTGGAGAGCCAGTTGAATCAGGAGAGGACCGACAAGGAGGCGATGTCAGAGGAACTGACCCACGCCAACACCAAACTTCTGCAGCTGGAGGAGACCTCGGGAGAGTCCAAGATGGCCATCATCGATCTGGAGAAGAAGATTCAGGAGATGGAGAAAGTGGATAGGGAAAAAGACCAAAGGATCTCAGAATTACAGGGGAGGATCAAAGAATTGGAGTCTGTGATTGTGGAAAAAGACCAAAGGATTGTGGAATTACAGGGGAGGATCAAGGAACTGGAGGCAGTGGTTGTGGAAAGGGAGAGTGAGGTTAAAAAGTTAAGGCAGTGTGTTGATGAGAAAGATAAAGAACTGAGTGAGAAAGAAGTGAGAATTGAACAGTTAAGTGGTAGAATGAATGAACTGGAAAATGTAGTCAAGGAAGAAGGAGTGGTGAGTGGGGG